GTGTGTGTTGAAAACAATCGCCACAGCAGCACCCAGGGACCAAAAGAAAACCCAACCACAAAAAAAAAATGACATGCATTAAACCCGCGACCGTGTCGGAGTCAAGCGCCCGGCAGATTAAAACTGAGTCTCTTGACGTGCTTGGACTTAAAATAGCCCTTCACCTACAGGCAAGCGCGCGCGCGCACACACGCACAGCAGCCACCCTTCCCAGGACCGGGCAGGAATCTCCATCCCCGGGCTCCATTTGGACCAGCTTCACCGCATTGGGCCTCCAGCGATCCCGAGGCCCTGGTGTGCTGGAAGTAATGCACCACCCGTACAGGCAACAAGCAGGTGGAGAAGCGCCGCTAGCCGCGATAAGCTGTGTGTTAACATCCAAAGCATGGCAAGCACGAGAAAGAAGCTGCCGAAGCGGGGAACAGAGGGGAGACAAAGGCAGTTTGCTGAGGGCTGGATTGGAAAGGATCTGAATTTCTCCTCCAGCCCCTCTCCTCTGCTTCTCTACCCACCCCCCCACCCCCCAAAAAAAAAATAGACATCCAGAAGACTTTCCCTTAATTCACCCCTATGATCGGGAACCCAAGCATTCCTCCCCCACCCTTCACATCCTGGTGGATGAGACAAGGGAAGAGTGGAATCAACATGTCTGATGATTATTGCCTCCTTTTAGCTCCTAAAAATGACACCCCAGGCCCTCTTACTACATGGGGCGCGATTTGTTTTCTTTACCAATTAATACATAAAAATGATGGGGGGGGAGGGGGAGGAAGGAAAGGGGAATCTCCCTACCTTGGTTTGTAGAAGCAGAACCTCTAGATGGACAGATTAAGGGAGTGAGCATGTTGGGAATATCCAGTCTCCTCTTCTTGCTTGCATATCCACATAAGAAGAATAAGGGTCGGGGGACAAGCAGGTGGAAGGACAAGGAAAAAAAAATCCTATTTGGCAGTAAAAAAAAAAAAAAAATCTGGAAATCTCGTGTCTTCGAGCGGTGCAAATGGAAAGGGAGAAGAGCTTCGCTTCAGAGAGTGCGGCAAGGATCGTAAAATGCAGGCTCCCCAGCAAGCATTCCTCGTGCCTATTTCTGTATGTATCTATATATTAAAAAAAAAGAAGAAATAGATTCTTATCATGACTCTTTTCCCGGAGCCCTAGTGGAGGAGATGGTGTTTGGAGCAACTGGAGGTCGGTGCCGGTCCTCTGTGAAGCATGATTATTCCCAAAGCGTCCCCCTCCTGAAGGGGAAAAAAAAGCATCAATATTTGATGAGAGGGGGCTGAGGGCGACCAAACCCGCTCCCCAAGAAAGACATGAAAAGGGCTGGAAGAACGAGAGGCAAAACGCATTTCCCAACAGCGCACACGAGCGGAATCAAAAAACAGCTGGCACGAGTCTATAAATAACTCGGGTACGGTCTGGCTCTCCCATTCCTGGGCTCAGCACGGCTATGAGCCGGGAGAAGGAGCGAGTCGCCGGGAGAGCGCGGCCCCCCCACCCCCGTACACACGTACCGAGTCGCACCCACCCCTCGCAACGAGCACTTAACTAGCTGAGCGAGTGCCGCTCCCACCCCCATCTGCATTGCTGCTGACACGTCTGTCCGTCTCTTCC